GGGTTACACCATGTAACTCATAACTTTACCCATTCCTTATGCTCCATGGATTTTAACCTCCATGGAGTATCCATGGGTCACCCCATGGACTTAGTCCAACATAAGGAATCTTGGATCACAAGCCCACATATATAAGAATGAATGATTTACACAATCAACCCATATATTTAATTAGTCTCCTTTTGATCACTTAATTAATTCCAAATTAATTCTTGATCAATACTAATTAAATAACCTTATTAATATATATTAGAACTTATAATATATTAACCAACCTTAAGTGTTATTTCTCTCATTATAGTCTATCCAAATGCATGATGTCATGCAACCCAAATGGACCATGCCGGGTCGGGTCAAGTCTTACCAATTATAGTTATGGACTTAGACATTAATCCAACAAAGGTCACCCATTGATTGATAGTTAGTGTTTGTGGGAGCAGGAATGGTTGGAGGTGAGGGTTGAACAGGAGGGATGAATGGAACAACAACAATGAGAGGGTCCGAAACGGTCAGGTTTGGAGTTTGTGGGTGGTAGGAACTGACTAGAGCTAGAGGACCTCCAGTGAGTTCACGCAGGGTTTGTGCAACATTTGATTCATGACCTTGAAGCTCATCGAAAAGTTGGTAGATCTTCAGCTTTTTCAGAGATCCATTACTCTGAAGACATGATTTCACATTTCCCCACCCCTTTCCGAGGCTGTTGATGAACTTGAGGTTGTACTCAAGTGGGGTTCGGACTATCCAATGAGTTGTCATGTTGTCGACGACGATTCGGTATTTGTTTGAGGCTGAGGCAACAGATTCACCAGGTGTTGTGGTGCAAGTGTCGAACTCATTGACAACTGAGCTTAGACGTTTATCCTTCATGTTCTCTGATCCTTCGAACAAATCTTGAAGTGTATCTGAAATCTCTTTTTCCGACTTACACAATTTAATGTGCTCAAAGAGAGAAGGTAGAACACCAAACACCATTTCTGAAAAGGCAACTTGATCTGCATGCAGCTTTTCAAGATCATCAGCAGTGAGAGGTGCTTGACGTTGTTGATCCTGTCCCAAGAGAGTTACAACAACATCTCTAACAATAGTTCGAACTGGAACATGAGTACCTTCTTTAACGGATCTCCAGATAGATTCACCTTTTTCTTTTCCAAGTAAAAATCCTTCCATTCTGACTTTCCAGTGATCATACTCTTCCACAACTAGCAGTGGGACACGTGTAGGGCAACCCACGCTATTTGCTATGTGCATTTACTACATTTGTTGAGAATTAGAAGCAGCCATTGAAGTTAAGATATCTTGAGCAAAAGTGGTATATAGAAGAACTTTTATCCTGAACACATAAATGATCGAAATACCAAGGTAATCTCGAATCAACTATAATTTGTTCTTATGGATTCAAAGGACAACCACTCAAGCTCTGATACCAATTATGAGAACAAGGATCTGATTGCACAGGGACAAGGCTTGAAAACTCAAACCTTGATTTAATGCTTAAGATCAATGTCTGCTTCTGATTATAGGTTCCAGTCAACTCTGGCAAGACCAGTCAAGACTTGAAGATGAAGATCAACAAAGCACTTCAAGTATTTAATATGATACTATGAGTATAATCAAGGTAAAGACAATAAATGAACACAATGAATGTTTGAAGGAATGATTTGAGAGAAAGATGCAAGTGAAGTAAATGTGAAAATATATATCTTTGGAGGAACAATCTGTCTTCTATTTCTTGTCATTAAACACTCCTTAAATAGGATAAGGAGTACATCGTACAAACTTGAATATATACATAGGACTGGACAAAAGAGTTACATCTGACACTCTGTTTATCCCTTTGACAAAATAAACTGAGTCCTATGAACTATTACATCAAACTAAAACACAAGAATAATAAATGTAAGGACAGATAGACTGATTCGGACTTATACACCATTTCAGAACAATAGCGCTTGAACATTCTCTATTCCGGACACCAACTTGACTCCGGACCATATACCACTTTGGAACAAGACTGACTTCGGAACAACTGAAGGTTAGAGATTGCTAGAGGTTCACTTTCAGGTTCCAACAAGGACCATACTTCATCCTCACTCTCCCCCAAAACTTCATGAAAACGAATCTTCAACTTCATGAATTCGTCTTTATCATTAAAATTTTCTACAATTTGGAACTGCGGAGATGTGAAAAAATTGTGATTAATCGGAAAATCAAGTTGATTAAAATCCGAATTCTCTGTATCATAGCTCTTCTTTGGTGCTTTCCTGAATTCATCATTTTTTCCAAGTACCGCTATCTCAATCTTTTCATAGCACCAATGTTTGTTGGGATGTCCTTGTTCAAACCTGGTGGATCGTTTGCTATTTTCCTCAAAATGCTATTTATTTGCCTTTGTTTCATCAACTCGATATCTAGTAATCTTTTCTTTTCTTCATCAGACTGAACAACTTCAGTTGATTTTCTTTTGTCTTTCGGATCATTATTAGAAGTTGTTTTGACAAGAGTAGATCTAGAACCTCCTGCACCTTCATTAATCGAAATCCTTTTCGATTGGACTTTCAATTGATAAAAATTGGTTGTTGTAGAGGTTGGTGTTATTGATACAATTACAGGCTTCATTGAGTTTGTTGTTGGAATTTGAGTCGACATAATCTTCCCAAAAACTACTCCTGTATCTTCACCAGAAGCTTTGGACGATCCAACTCCTCTTTCTCCCCCTTGCGAAACTTGCGCAACACGTTGAGCATTTATTGGTAAACACAGTACCAAATTGAGGATTGGAGCCAACTCAACTTTAATGCTTGACTCAATATTCGAAACCATTTTCGAAATGGATTCTTGAGGGATAGAAGATTGATTCGAAAGATCCATTTTCGATAGAGTATCTTTAATACCAGAAAAAAACTCCTCAAATTTCTTAAACACCTTGTCATCTTTCTCAGACTTTTCTTTGAGCTCTTTGGAATGATCCTTGTTGAGTTCAACCAAGCAATTTGTTGCACCAGCTACGACATCAACTTTTCATGCAACAAATTGTAATTATCCTCCAACTTCTTATCTTCTTTCGACATCAATGTTTGAAACTCAGTAACCTTGAGATCAAGAGACTCTTTCATTTCAGTGATCTTGTCCAGAAATATTTCATGACGTGCTTTAGCAACATCACGAATCTTGGTAATATCATGATTAAGACTTCGAGAGTGAGTAGCCAATATCTCTTCGTGTTTCTTATCAACATCTCCAATCAAAGTTCGCAATCGAGACTCTTGAGCTTTCAACATATAAACAACTTCAACCCCAATAATATAATTCTTACCTCCAGTATTAGCCAAAAATTGAAGAAGATAATTCATTTTGGAGTTGAGAATCTTGAATTGCTTACCTAACATGATTAAGTCATCAGGTATATCTTCTTCTTCTGGATTAAACTGAATTTCTGCAAATGAAACCATCACATTTTCATCATCAGCTGCATCTTCTTGGACTTCTCAACCTTAGTTGATTGTGAAGAGAAAATAGTGGTAATTGGTTCTTGCATAACACCAACAAAGGTTGGTGACACATTTGTAACAGGAGTGGAAGAAGTAATTGGTGATGTTGGTGGTGGTAGAACAGTTGATGTTTCAATTGATGTCGAACCTATTGTTGTGTCGGCTGTATTCATCCTTTCATCCATGTTGACATTTGTGTCCTTATTCGATAAGTGCACAATGATGTCTGGAGTTTCGACCTCTTCCATAACAGACTTGGTATGCGAAACATCGGGTGATATGATTGTAGCCTTCTCAGGATATTTATGGGTTGTTGTACACCAGATTCAATGTTTGCACTCGTATTGATACATTTACAGTGACATCAGGAATCCTTGTCTCCTAGAAAATCGACTTGACAGGGGTATCCTTTCGTGGTGATACATGAAAAAGAATCCTCAAATCGAGTGTCTGATTCGTCGCTATCATTCTCAGTCTCGACAGTTACTTTCTCAAATTGGACTTCAGCTTGATCATGCTTTCTCTTCTTTAGCTTTTGTGCAACATCCAAAGCTCGACACTTCTTTGATGTTGGAGATTCAGGACTCGAAACCTCTTGTAAAATAACTCCCCTTCTGGTAAATTGGAGTTTCTTAACCCTTTTTGAACCACCCTTTTTTGCAACTGGTTCACTTTCCTGTGTGATTGTAGTTATACTAGGAACATGATTAGAAGTTTCAACAACTATTGTCTCAACAGTCTCGATACTTGGCTCTTGAATAGGTTTCATGGTTGCAGAATCATAAGTTTTCTTTGTTGGTTTCTTGGTTCGTTCGAATACCCCTTTAACAAACTCATCCTCCACTTCTTTTGGCTTTTCTGCTTGTTTCTTAGGATTTTGAGCCTTAGATCCTTTATATGTTCCTTCTACCCCTTTTTGAAAAACCTTTTGGTGGAAGAACACCAGTTGAAGTAGAATCAATAGAAGCCAAATACTGCACCAACAATTGATTTTTAGGATCCACCAAATTTAGCATCGAATCAGGGATTCGAGCAACAACATGAAATATTTTAGCATCATCCACGACAATCTTGGGAACTGTGATCATAGGAAACTCAGTGGTAGCAACACCTGATGGAACCAAAATATTTTCCTGACTATAGATTTCCTTCAAAATCAACCCTTAAAACCTAGCACTCGACACCCCAATCGCTAGTTTAGAATGATAAATTGATGTTCCAAATTCTTCCCATAACATCGAATCATAGTAGACATTAAGAACATAATACAGACCAGCCAACTCTGAATAAACCTTAAGTTTGGCCTTATCTAGTCCAAAACTCCTCCCTATCAAACACCTTAACACAATTCCAAATAGGAAACTACCAAACATAGGGTAGGCTCGACTTCTTAAACGTACTAATATTCACAAGAGAAAGTTGATGTCTCATCTCATTAAACATGTGGATAACCTGATCAATGGATACTTCAAAAAAATTACATGAAGAAGGTAATTTCAACATCTGTGCGAACTACTTCTTTGTAAGCTTCTTCGTTTTAAAAGACAATAGCTGGAAAGTAACAACTTTGGTTGACTTATTGAACACAACCATTGAAGCAACAAGAGATAACCATTGAATCAGAATGGAAAATGTTCCAGATAGCGCAAAAGAAAGAACATAATTGTTCAAAATTTGAACAATTAGTTGCAGTTCATTCGGATACACATCGAGAGACGGAATGAGATGAAGATTTGTGTGCAGAATCTTCATCGTTTGTTGTGAAATCTCTTCTTCATTTGTTGTAACTTCATCGAAGTTGTGTTGTGTAGCAGCCATTTAAGAAAATCAGAGAGAATTTTGGAGAGAAAATCGTCGATGAATAGTTAGGGTTCTTGAGAGTTTTTAGAGAGCATAACGTGAAAATTGGAAGAACCATTTTCCTTATATAACTAGCATGAATTTTGAATTCAAACCGTTGCCCAATGAAAAAATGCCACATGGAATATTAGTAATTGAACCGTCACCATAAAAAATCGCCACGTGTAAAAGTGATGATCACTTTTCTCCTAAATTCCCGTGAAAATCTTGAACCTTCACTTCCACCAGATCTTTCGCTTCCCCCAACCAGATAAGAACCGCCACAATTTTTTATACTGAGAGTTAGGGCTGTAAACGAACTGAACGTTCGGCGAACTGTTCGTGAACTGTTCGGCGGGAAGTTCGTTTGTGTTCGTTTATTTAATAAATGAACGAACATGAACAAAAATTATCGTTCATTTAGTTAAATGAACGAACATGAACAATGGTCTCGTTCGTTCATTTATGTTCGTGAACGTTCGTTTATGATGTTCGTTTACGTTCGTTTATGTTCGTTCGTTTAAGTTTATTTATATTCATTTATATTCAATTTTTTTATTATATTGCCATATTATATGTTCGTTTATGTTCATATATGTTAAATTGTGTTTTTTTATCTTTGTTTGTTTATGTTTGTTCGTTTATGTTTGTTCGTTTATGTTTGTTCGTTTATGTTCGTTTAGCATGTTCATGAACATAAACGAACGAACATGAACAAAGTAATTTGTTAAACGAACGAACATGAACAAGAAAATCTCGTTCGTTTATCCGTTCGTGTTCGTTTGTTGTTCGGCTAACTTAAACGAACGAACATGAACAAGACCTTGTTCGTGTTCGTTTGGTTCGTTTACAGCCCTACCGAGAGTGATCGGTATAAGTTTCATTACCAAATAGAGAACCATCTGTCGGCATGGAGGCTAGCCTCATTGACTTATGGGATAGATAAGCGAAATCATTTGGCAGACTTTGCGAAATCTAAGTTTCGAGTTGGTAATACCCAAAACCTCAAGGATTTCAGTTCTTTCGTGTGCCAAAAAATAAGATAGAAACAAAGTAAAAAAAATATGGATATTGTGATATCAAAGATCCTTCGATATGAAGGCAAGTTGATCTCAGGCAAATATCTCTTCATTCAACATCAAGAGAGACGTCGAATTGCTTGTGTGGTTCCCGTGAGTTACAATGGAAAAACTATTTGATGAGTATCGAAGGGCCTTTTTTTCTAGAGGTTTGAAGGTGGTTTCGTTTTCACATAAGTTCACAACTTAACATAAGTGTGAATCAATATGTAAAAAATACTGGATGACTAGTGTAGTCAAGAACAAGTAAGGTTGGATAAATTTTGAGTAACGAACGTAACAGAAAAGATGTTCAGATGACAATCATTTCAAAAAAAATTGAAAATCTGGATCTTTTGGGAAAAAAATGACTTGGGAATAGTACATTTTATTAAGATCACACAATACAAATGAAATGAGATTTTGAACATCAAAAGTGGTACATTTAAACAAATGTTTCGTTAAAATCTTGAACAAGAATGCTCACCGTCAATTCATTTAAGTTCAGGTTTGTTGGGTTTCACCATCATCACGTAAAAATGATTCAGGATCATAAACACAGAGTTGTGACATACCTACATCCTGGTAGGTTTCGACCAAAGATGTCGAGGGTATGCAGTATAGTGTGTGGTCATGAAAGAAATTTCGGGTGAAAAAGATTGGTTAGAAGAACTCATTGTACCTCTACAAAAAAAATATGGACCTAGCAGAAATCTCTTTACTCATCGTGAGAAGAGAAAGGTAACTCGTCGACTAATGTGAATACAACATGATCGGGAAGAAAATTTCATGTTGATAGTTTCATTAAGGCTTCGAACACATAGAGACTTTGAGGCTTGAGGACAACATATTGCAGCATGCTTCTAGGGATACTTAACTAGTTCACAGTTTCGAGTCATACTTGTTCCCTTTGAATGTTTTCATTTGGCATGCGAACGAACAACACATTGTTACAATGAGCTTCCAAAATAAGGAAAATATTTTTGTGTTTTTCAAAAAAAAAACTTCAAATATAACGAAAATCTTTTTGGAGTTTTGATTTTTATAAACGAAAAACAAAAATAAGAAAATCTTTTTGAATTTTTAAAGTTTATAAACGGAAAAACAAAAATAAGAAAATCTTTTTTGGATTCTTGAATTGTATAAACGAAAAACAAAAATAAGAAAATCTTTTTGGTTTTTTGAATTTTATAAACGAAAAACAAAAATAAGAAATTTTTTTTTATTTCGAATTTTATAAACGAAAGTGCAAAAACAAGAAAAAGGATATGAAAAATTCTGGATATTTGTTAGAGATAACAAATACGGCATATACGAACCATGTTTGCTATTCTCCAAAGAAATATACCATAGTCGAACGCTTCTATAAGGAAATGGACTTCCCATCGAGAGACTATTTCCCCATACACAACTGACTAACTCCACAAACGAAACTGATACTGAATGAATCAGAGGAAAATCGAATGCGAAGGCATGCGAACGCTGAATCGTGCACAATGACCTCTGAACAGATATCAAACAAGTAACGAAAGTTAGGATAACACTTGAAACTCATACCTACTAATCGAAAATGATACAAACAATCGAAAGTAAAGTAAAACACATATCCATGTCAAATTTAAGAAGAATTATGTTGAATGTGGAACATAACTTGCTTCCATCATTCCCAAACCATGCAAAATCCTTAAAATAATTTTTCATCCAAAGTTTTCGTGAAAATATCATCAAGCTGATATGTTTTTTTAACAAAATGAACTTCAATGTTCCCATCTTCAACATGATCTTTTATGAAGTGGTAACGAAGAGCAATATGCTTTGTTTTCGAATGTTGAACTTGATTGTGACAAATGCAAATGACGTTTTGTGAATCATAATACAAAGGTATCTTCTTCATATTGATTACATAGTCAGTCAATTAGCTATGTATCCAGATTACTTGAAATGTGCATGCAGCAGCAGCGATGTATTCAACCTCGGCTGTCGAAATAGAAACACATGTATGATTTTTCGATTTCCAACTCACAAGTTTCTCATCTAGTAATTGACATCCTCTAGTAGTTCTCTTTCGATCCAATTGACAACCCCCAAGATTCGCATCAAAAAAATCTTGGATAAAGAATCTTGTTTTCGCCGGATACCACAATCCTAACATTTTTTGTACCCTGAAGGTATCGAAAGATATTCTTCACTGCAGTAAGATGGGGTTCTCTTGGGTTCGATTGATATATGGCACAGTTACATAAAAATAACATAATATCAGTTCGACTTGCAGTTAAATACAAAAGCGAACCTATCATGCTCCTATATGTCTTGAGACCGACAACAGGCTTATCCAACGAAGGACTTAAGCGTGTGCCGACAACCATATGTACTTTGACTTTCATGTAATTCGTCATCCTAAATATTTCAAGCAGATTTCGAGTGTAGTTCTCTTGATTGATAAATATTTCTTCCCTGCTTTGATGAATATTTAATCCCAAAAATTGATTTATCTTACCCATCATGGTCATTTCAAATTTACTCTTCATTAACTCCTCAAATTCCATAGACAACAGAGGATCAGTCGAACCAAATATAATGTCATCGACATAAATTTGAACAAGCATCAGATGATCCCCTGCTTTCTTTTGAAATAAAGTAGGATCAACCGATCATTGTTTAAATTTAGCAATTTTCAAAAAAATTGTAAGAGTTGCATACCAAGCACGAGGTGCTTGCTTCAATCCATAAACAACTTTGTCAAGGATATAACAATGATCAGGATACTTATCGTTAACGAAACCTGGAGGTTGTTCGACATACACTGTTTCTTCAAGAACACACTTTACGTCCATCTGGTAAACATCAAAATCCTTGTGAGCTGCATAAGCTAGAAAAATTTGTACTGGCTCGAGTCTTGCGAAAGGGGGAAAATGTTTCCTCATAATCAATACCTTCTTGTTGAGAGTAACCTTTTACGACTAGCCTAGCTTTGTTTCTAACAATATTGTCTTCTTTATCAGTTTTATTCTTAAAAACCCATTTGAGTCCAACTATCGAAACATTATCAGGTTTAGGAACTAATCTCCAAACCTTGTTTCATTCAAATCCAACCAACTCATATTGTATTACAACACCCCAATCGGGATTTTCTAATGCGGTCTTGACTGTTTTTGGTTCAATTTTCGAAATAAAAACATTGAACATACATAATTCTTGATGAACATTTAAAATTTCATTTTTGGCTCGAATCTGGGCTCGAGTTAAAACACCGGAATTTGGATCACCAAGAATCTACTCCTTTGGATGATCTCTTGTCCAGTTGTCCATCGGAGAATATGCAGGATCAAATTCCAAATGTGCATCTTCAAATATTTCTTCAGAATCTGAGACTGCACCTGAAATTGAGATATTATCATTACAATCAATAAAATCAATAAAATTTCTATCATCATCCTCATCATTACCCCCTCGACATCAGGATGGTCAGTCATATGCCCCCCCTCGAAATCATTACCTTTATCATCATCCTCATCATAATTCTTGAAAAATGTTATTACGTGTAACATCCCAATTTTCAACACCAAAAATTTTGTTTTTAATTAAGTAACTTATAAAACAGTTAACTGAAAAACATCATCGATTCATATCATTTCATAAAACATAGTCATGTGTCTTAAAACCATATCATAAAATAGTAAATAATGTCATAGTACAATCCCAAGAATCTCATAATGCGTAAATCCTGTGTGTGTGATGCGCTGCTACCATGCCGACTCTTTCCCCTTCAAAGAAGAGGTACCTGAAAACAAAACTGAAACTGTAAGCACAAAGCTTAGTGAGTTCCCCCATCCTACCACATACCATACAATAACATATCTAGCTAGACATATCTGGGTCCCGGCCTCCCCTTCGGTCAATTTCAACCGAATAATTTTCCTA